AGGTCTACTTCATCATTTTCTTGGCATAGGAGTTATTCAAACTGAGTCTAGTATATTTCTACATCAAAAGAAGTATGCTAGCACCTTGTTGAACAAATATGGCTTGACTGAATGCAAATCTGTAACCATACCTCTTGTTGCCACTGAGAAACTAGCTAAGGAAGATGGAAGTGGAGCTGCAAATGAAGAACACTACAGAAGCATTGTTGGTAGTCTGCTGTACTTAACTGCTACCAGACCTGACATCATGTATGCTTCAAGTCTGCTAGCCAGATTCATGCACTGTCCTACAAATAGGCATTATGGAACAGCTAAACGTGTCTTGAGGTATGTCAAGGGAACTCTAGACTACGGCTTAGAGTATGTGAAAGGCAGGAAATCAATTCTGATCGGCTACTGTGATAGTGATTGGGGAGGATCAGTTGGTGATAGCAAGAGTACATCAGGGTATGCTTTTACTTTTGGGAGTGGAGTGTTTTCTTGGGCCTCTGTGAAACAGAACTGTGTTGCACTGTCCACTACAGAAGCTGAGTATATCAGTGCAGCAGAGGCTACTACACAGGCCATTTGGCTTCGTTTTGTGCTAGAAGATTTTGGAGAGCTCCAAACCGAAGCTACTCCATTGCATTGTGATAACATCTCAGCAATAGCAATCACTAAGAATCCTGTATTCCATCAGAAGACAAAGCATATTGACAGGAGATACCATTTCATCAAGGATGCTTTGCAAGAAGGAGTTATTAATTTGGAATATTGTCCCACGAATGAGCAACTGGCTGACATCTTCACCAAACCCTTGGCCAAAGATCGATTCAATTATCTTAGAGGCATGCTTGGAGTGAAATCAGCTCAAGACTTAAAGGGGAGTGTTGAATTATAAATGCTCAAGCTGATTTCATAAGTTGGTTGTTTTCTGTTTTCTTGTAATTTTGGTTTTAATCCAAGTGGCATAGGTTTATCGGTTAGTTTAATGGAAGGCTGAGATTGCATTGTGATGTAATGCATCCAGCTGGCATTGTTTAACAGTAATATTCTCACACCAAGAGTGTAAGCTATACTGTACCAATTCTTGCAATCTAAAGAATGAGAAGGTTCTCTGCTACACGAATAGCAGAGAGAGATTTTGTCAATTCTTTCTTCCTTCTTCTATTCCTCTTCTTCTCACTCTGTTTCCAATATACTTGAAAACACTAACACAGCTGGCAGCTTGTACTCCGTGTTGTTTCGTTCCTTGGGATCCAAGAAAACCTGCCCGACATTGAAGACAGATAATTATGGTACTTAACAAACAAAATCCATGCATGTACTTTTATAATAAATCCATTATAATATCCATCCCGCCTAAATGTACTACGTTCTCAATTCATCTATTCCATTGTCAGTCTTTGGACATCTTCTTAACAAAATCTTCTCTTTGGTATAAGGTTCTTAGCCTTCATCTTTCAAGCATTAATCAACCCCTTTTTTTCCATTTCCAAGTGTTTGTGTGTGTGTCTATATATCAAACAATATTTTTTAAAATTAAATGGGTTGACCGTAAGAAAAGCCAACTAGGAAGATCAGAACTAGGAACTAAAAGATCAAAAATAAAATGTTATATCTTTATAACTCTTTTTATTATTTATTTTTTAAATGACCCATTAAATCTGTTCTTGGTCCCTTTCATATCTCCTCCTCCCTCACGTGGTCAGATAAGTTGGTTCAAATAGCAAGGCTCATTAAATAAGTGTGATTGGATGAACCAGAAAGCCTTATAATGAAGGACATCCCAATCACGAAGAACACCCCAAACAAAGTAACAGAGTGCTAGAAGAAGAAAACAGAGAGGATGGAAGGGGCTAGGCTGAGGGGGAATATTTTCTTTTTGCTTTTTTTGAGATTTTTTATATTCTAGTTTATTTTAATCAGTTAATTTATGTTTCATTTATACAATGACAAAGTTGCCATTAGAAACTACTCAAATAGAATTTAGGGTTATGAATAATTAAGTATATTTCCATTCTTCTCACAAGGAGGTATTTATGATACAAATACAAGCCCATCTAGGAAATAATTACAATAAGGAAAAAGGAAATAAAATACAATCCTGGTCAAACCGGTATTCCTGTAATTACAAATCAATTATAATGAAAGTAATTGTCTCTAATTCCTATTGTGATTAAGTGATTCAAGCCAACAAAATTGACTAAACATAACAAAATTGACTTAAGAATTGTATAAATTATATAAGTACATAATATAATAATATAAAATTTAGTCAGTACAATTACTTTAATAGCATATTTATATATACTATAATATATATATATACCTCATCAAAAAATTAATATATATTCTAAACGGGGAGGGTTCGGGT